TTCACTAACAAAATTAAATCTCCTGCTCGAGAATTGGAAAAGCTTTGTTGTATGTGAGACATTCCTGTCACAAGCTGTGTCATATGGTGGTCACAAATTGTCCATGTCAAACAGTGGTAAATGGTGGCTACGAGTCTCTAGGCCTGGGCGATAAAACGGTATCAGTATTTATCATCGATAGCGATAGAAAAAATGTTCGATATAGTGCACGATATAGGCACGTGCTATGAGTGACAAGCAGACAGCACACACGAACGCATGCTGAGTGCTGTGCCTGCATGTGATGAGGAGATTGTGAATAAAAAATGAATATTAGTTGAATTTAAAATAAAATTTGCATTTGAATGCAAAAACGGTGCAATCGAATGTTAGGTGTGCGCACGAGATGCAGTAATGATGATGTAAGTGTCTTTGTCGTACTTTATTGTTTTTATTAGTCTGTCCAATTGAACCCACAAGATGCGCCGCTGCTGCATTATTCATTCAAAATATTAGAGAATTATAGAAGCTCAATGCGGAGAAGTTATTGGTTAGGTTAAAACCGAAACCAAGCCATTCACAAAGAACGCATATTAGGCACATTTTTACTATGACTGTTGCACTCGCGTCTCACGCGAGATATGTATAGAAAGTAGGGGTGTGCGATATTGACAAAAAATTATATCTCAATATTTTCTGGGATTTTATCGATAACGATAATTAGAGGATATTTTGCTGAGTGTGTTATTGTGCTGGTACCTTAAGGACTGCCGAAGACAGCTGACTCCTAATGTTTTTAATATTCTTCATATTCTGTGTGGTGGTCAATTCATACTGATAGAAATTAATCTTTTCCAATAAGTTTTATGGGCATTTTTACCTTTATAAAGCCATTTTTTCTAAAAGTGTCCATTATCTTTTGAGTCAAATTCTTACATTTAATCAGGGAATTAGAATAATAAGACATTTGGGCTGTTACCAAGCAAATGAAATCAACACAGAAGCTGCATCTGAAGTGGCATTTAGATGTATTTACACACGTGTATTTTGTTTAATGCAAGACATGAATGCATTTAACCTGCAATTACAAATGCATAAATAATGTTTTGATATATTAAACATAAAACGTTGAATACTGATATTTGAAATGAATGCAAAAACGGTGCAATCGAATGTTAGGTGTGCGCACGAGATGCAGTAATGATGATGTAAGTGTCTTTGTCGTACTTTATTGTTTTTATTAGTCTGTCCAATTGAACCCACAAGATGCGCCGCTGCTGCATTATTCATTCAAAATATTAGAGAATTATAGAAGCTCAATGCGGAGAAGTTATTGGTTAGGTTAAAACCGAAACCAAGCCATTCACAAAGAACGCATATTAGGCACATTTTTACTATGACTGTTGCACTCGCGTCTCACGCGAGATATGTATAGAAAGTAGGGGTGTGCGATATTGACAAAAAATTATATCTCAATATTTTCTGGGATTTTATCGATAACGATAATTAGAGGATATTTTGCTGAGTGTGTTATTGTGCTGGTACCTTAAGGACTGCCGAAGACAGCTGACTCCTAATGTTTTTAATATTCTTCATATTCTGTGTGGTGGTCAATTCATACTGATAGAAATTAATCTTTTCCAATAAGTTTTATGGGCATTTTTACCTTTATAAAGCCATTTTTTCTAAAAGTGTCCATTATCTTTTGAGTCAAATTCTTACATTTAATCAGGGAATTAGAATAATAAGACATTTGGGCTGTTACCAAGCAAATTAAATCCACACAGCATCTGAAGTGGCATTTAGATGTATTTACGCACATATATTTTGTTTAATGCAAGACATGAATGCATTTAACCTGCAATTACAAATGCATAAATAATGTTTTGATATATTAAACATAAAACGTTGAATACTGATATTTGAAATGATTTAAAACATGAAAACAATCTAAACAAAAAGAAAAGAAAGAAAAAGCCGAAATTTGAAATGAAAACCGCCAACAGGTGGCAGCAAATCAGTGTTATTAAGTGAGTAATTGCGATTGAACCAAATCATTTAAACGGTTGATTCATTCAAGAACGAAACACCGTCATGTTGCTCAGAGACACAAAACAGCACTGTGGCTGTATTCGGAATGATTTTTGTTGGCGAAATAGAGCAAAAACAAGCAATATAGTGTCTAAAACGTAAGTCTCTTAATTATCTTATTGTTTATTGAATTGGTCATTTTTGGAGAAAAACTGCATTTTTCGTGTGTAATTGAATAACTATATGAAGTGGTATAAATATATACATTTTCTGCCGTCATGTCTTGAATTTGTGATCATTCTAAATGCATTTTAATAGAATGAATCATGCAATGAAAGTACTCACTCTAAATGCGCACACACACTAGTCTAGACTTCACGTAATGTATGCGTGCGCTCTGTAGGGGTGTTTTGAATGGGTTTTGCAAAATACTCGATAATGTCAAATCGCACATCGTTAAAACAACAATTACGATATTATCGCAGACGACATATATCGCACACCCCTAATAGAAAGCCATGTAAAGTTAAAAGAGTTTAAACTTTTAGAAAACACATTGTGAATTTGTGGAGGTTTATTCCCTTTCACTGTGTCTCATGTTTATAAATGCAATCTGTGTGATCGGCGCATCGGCTATTTGAATTAAGCTATGTATAAATACATGATGCTGTTTTGTTCATAATTGTTTATGCAATTTACAAAATTATATTTGATTTATATATGTTAATTTAGACGTTGCGCATGCTTTTTATAGACTGTTATTTTAATTGCATTATATAAACAATTTAATGCGCTGCATTATTTTGCTCATTGCGCCCTCCTGTGGCTATTTAATCTGTATATAAAACATAAGAAATTAAATATTTGTTTACATTTTATTTTGTGTTTGACTGTTAAACAAAAAATGTTGTCTGTCTTAAATTGAGTAAATTAAAAATACAGTGGTTGAATAAAAAAAAAAAAGACAGACTGGAAGGATGATGGTTTGTGTGGTGCACAGTTTTGACATTGTGGGCTGATATTTGGAAACTCTTTGCCCACGATATGGTTCACTGAACTTGATTTTGTTGTGGTTTTGTTGAACTTGGATGCTATGAATGAATGACTGAAAGGACCAACGGGAGAGAGCTAGATCAAGAGACAAATTACCTGACATTTAAACTTCTAAAATGCATTTGACAGCAGCTGTCAAACTCTTTAACAAATCATTGAAGTAATTTTATTCAAACCTTAACCCTGATGCCTCCTTTGCCCTGTATAAAACTGCCTGTAGAAGAACAAGAGAATCATTTTCAGTTGACATGCATGTCAAAATATGGCTCTGTAACAGGCCTTCTTTTTGTACTACTACATTTGAAATATTGGGTCTTTCCATCTCCTGGTTTTGGATCTTCTCTCTACATATACATCTTTCTTCACTAATACTAGTGTTGTCAAAAGTACCGGTACTTTGGTAATGTCGAGTACCATTACCCGCCCATAGGCTGCTGCTTTCAGATGCTCTCATATTTATGTGAGTGCTCTGTGAAGAGCATCAAAGCTTTCTATCACCCTTATGAAAATTAACCATGGTTTTATTGTAGTAAAAGTGTAGTAACCATGGCTTTTTGGTGTATTGATTACTATTTGTATAACCACGGGTTTACTACAAATACAATGGTTAAACTAGTGTAGCAAAAGCAAGGTTATTTTGTGGTAACCATGGTTCATTTTTATAAGGGATAGATTGTAAAAAAAATGATAGACAACACATCTCCACTTCCTTCCACTGTAGAAAAGTAAAGCTAAAATGTCCCAAGTGTAGGAGCTGTCATCTTGCTCTGTCATTTGGAGCCTGAGTCTGCACAGTAGTGAACATAAGCTGGAGCGGCGGTATCAAAGTCCCGCCTAAATTCCCACAGACCCAGTCGCAAGAATGCAATCATGACACTCCATTTTTATAGCATGAAGTAACTAACTTAAAGCAAACTTGTTAGAAAAATGAACACTTGATGTTTTTTAATTTTTTTGTGGATCATTTCCTGTTGGAAGATGCAACCTTGGCCCATAATAAAATTTCCAGTATGGACAATCAGTTTTTTTTTGTTTTTTTGGGGGGTATTTGATAGAATCCATAATGCCATCTATCTGAACAAGATGTCCAGGATCTTTGGCAGAATAAATATGCCCACACAGATCCAGCAGTATATTTCATTGTACACATGGGGTACTTTTTTGTATCCCTGTCTTCACCAAATCTTCAGTGTTTGCTGTTAAAAAGCAATTTTTTATAAGTAATTTTTTAGTTTCAACTGACCACAGAAGCCAGTCCCGTTTGAAGTTCCAGTAGTGTCTGGCAAATTAATATGCTGGAGTTTTTGGATGAGAGTGTTTTCTTTTCTAGATTTTTCTTGAAACCCTCCCAAACAACATATGATAATGTAGGGGCTGTTTGATCTTTTTTTTTCTCAGACTTTCTGACACCAAGACTCAACTCTTTTCTGCAGTTCTCTAGCTGTGATCCTTGGAGAGCCTTTGGCCACTCAAACTCTCCTCCTCACCTTGCTTTAAGACAAAAATAGACCCACATCCTTTTCCAGGCAGATTTGTAACATTTTCTGTTGATTGGAAATTCGTATTTATTGCATTGATTGTGTAAATGGGAATTTTCAATGCTTTAGCTCTTTACTTACAGCCACTTTTAGAAATTTGTGAAGTTCACATCAGAAATATATTCTTTGATTTTACTCATTGTGATGATTAAGGGAATTAGGTGGCCATTGTGTACTAGAGAAAAATATTTATTTCATAATGTGTTTTCCCCCCACTTTTTTTTTTAAATAGTTATAGCAGAATAAAATAGATTTTGTTGTGGTACCACAACTGGTACTGAGAACCATGGAATTTTACTGGTATTGGTACAACTGGTACAACACTATTCAGTATATTGAGTTGTGCATGAATGCATTTATGTTTTAATTGATTAGTCTGGTCTGATTCTGCCTTCACAGTGCCTGGTTTTTGAAGATGCACCAAATGGGGTAAAGGCGGGTCTGGCAGCTGGAATGCAGGTGGTGATGATCCCAGATGATAACCTGGACCGCAGCCTCACCCAGGAGGCCACCTTGCTGCTTAGAAGCATGGAAGAGTTCAGACCAGAACTTTTCAGTCTCCCAGCCTACCCATAAGGACAGTAATCACCACAATGATTTAAATTTCACTACGCTATATCTTGTCAATTTTTGAAAAATGGAAACAGGCTGCAGTGTAGCTCCTGCAATCAAAAACAGGAGAAACTAATCTCAACCATTATTTCTGTCAGCCATGGAGTTGCTGTTCAGGGACACAACAGAATGATGATTGTTTCGATTTTTTGCTTTTTTTTTTTTTTTAGCCAATCACAACTCTGAAGCTCTTTCCTTTGACCACCTGAATAACACAGAGACAAATTTGATTAAGCAATTAGCCTCAGTCGAACCATTAAGCCATATTGACATTTTACATTTCAACCAATTACAGGGTGTCATTTTCTTTCTTTCATTTTTGTTCCCTTCCAAATGCAGATGTCTTGAGTGTTTGTGTCTCTGTGTATAAATCTTTAATTCAAGCTCACAACTTTCCGGTCATGGTTTAAATTGACAGTAAGTGGCGGTTTAACAATCCCGCTCGACCAGCCGCCTTTTCTATTAGCGTTACCTTTCCTCTTTGCAGAAGTCTATTAAAATACCAAAGAGATTTTTGAGTTTGAACCATGTGGCGTAATCCAATAAAGGGGATCTGAGAGCACAGTCGTCTTTCATCTTCTTCCAGTGTCCGCCCTCACTGAGCTGGAGTTAGCATGTTCACTCACTTCAGTTCCCTTCCAAATGCAGATGTCTTGAGTGTTTGTGTCTCTGTGTATAAATCTTTAATTCAAGCTCACAACTTTCCGGTCATGGTTTAAATTTACAGTAAGTGGCGGTTTAACAATCCCGCTCGACCAGCCGCCTTTTCTATTAGCGTTACCTTTCCTCTTTGCAGAAGTCTATTAAAATACCAAAGAGATTTTTGAGTTTGAACCATGTGGCGTAATCCAATAAAGGGGATCTGAGAGCACAGTCGTCTTTCATCTTCTTCCAGTGTCCGCCCTCACTGAGCTGGAGTTAGCATGTTCACTCACTTCAGCGCTGTCCAACATCTCAGAGAGTTCAAGCCTGTCTTCTTTCAGCCTTCCCCTCTGGTAGGAAGAAAAGGGTTTTTGCCAGCATCCTCTTCCTCCTCCGCATATGCCACATCCTTTCATCCTTAAAGATGGGGTAATCTGGAAAGCTTTTCCTTCTTTAGGACTTTCCACTCCAAGAAGGCCTTTTACATGTCATTTCACACCTGAAGGACCTAAGGCTTAGGGTGTGCGCGTCTGTGCATACACCAGTGTTAGAAATTAACTTTTTTTTTATTAAGGAGCAATATTAACCCTGGTGGAATTGATTTTTAAGGGGCATTTTTACAAATGCATATTCTTTCATGTAAAACACTAAGTAACACCCATTTGTCAAATAATTCACAGTTGAGTTAGGTTCTTGAAATAAACAATCTAAATGATAACAATTTGCCTTGCTAAAACTGATGTTCAGGGGCATTTTTGTACATTATGATTACATTTTTTTCATATGTATAAAAACACAACCTGTCATCAATTTGTGTCAAATACTGCAGTTGAATCAGTTAATTAAAATAAATTGGCAATCTGAACAATAAATACATAAGTACTAGAATGCATTTTAAACACCCATTATAGCCTAGAACAGTATATCGCAAAATATATAAAATGTTAGAAAACACAGATGAATAAATTGTGGGTTTTTTGTTGATGTGTTTGTCCCAATCCCCAGGTAAATTTCTAACCCTGGTGCACACACACTTTTTCATATAGTGCATTCACTTTAATGCATTGCCAGGGCAATATTTGTACTGTGTGGCAATAATAATTGGATGAGACCTATGAAACAACATGAATTTGAAGCAGTGTCAATTGTGAATAGTGCCAATTGTGAGTTTACTATGTGTGTACTACACTCTCCATTCTATTGAAGTATACTTGAATGAAGCACAATTTGCGTGTTTATTTTTTCTCTTTTGGAAATCTATGGCTCAACAAATTCAATAACTTGTTTATCTTATTGACCTCTTTCATGTGATTTTATTAGCATAATCATGCACATTGGAATTTGACATTCAACTAGAAATTCGAGCCAAAAGAAGACTTATGTACATACAGTGGTGTGAAAAAGTGTTGGCCCCCTTCCTGATTTCTTATTTTTTTGCATGTTTGTCACACTTTAATGTTTCAGATCATCAAACAAATTTAAATATTAGTCAAAGATAACACAAGTAAACACAACATTCAGTTTTTAAATGAAGGTTTTTATTATTAAGGGAAAACAAAATCCAAAACTACATGGCCCTGTGTGAAGAAGTGTTTGCCCCCCTGTTAAAACTGTGGTTTATCACACCTGAGTTCAATTTCTCTAGCCACACCCAGGCCTGATTACTGCCACACCTGTTCGCAATCAAGAAATCTCTTAAATAGGACCTGCCTGACAAAGTGCAGTAGACCAAAAGATCCTCAAAAGCTAGACATCATGCCGAGATCCAAAGAAATTCAGAAACAAATGAGAAAGAAAGTAATTGAGATCTATCAGTCTGGAAAAGGTTATAAAGCCATTTCTAAAGCTTTGGGACTCCAGCAAACCACAGTGAGAGCCATTATTCACAAATGGCAAAAACATGGAACAGTAGAGAACCTTCCCAGGAGTGGCCGGCCGACCAAAATTACCCCAAGAGAACAGCGACGACTCATTCAAGAGGTCACAAAAGACCCCACAACAACATCCAAAGAACTGCAGGCCTCACTTACCTCAGTTAAGGTCAGTGTTCATGACTCCACCATAAGAAAGAGACCGGGGCAAAAATGGTCTGCATGGCAGAGTTCCAAGACGAAAACCGCTGCTGAGCAAAAAGAACATAAAGGCTCGTCTCAGTTTTGCCAGAAAACATCTTGATGATCCCCAAGACTTTTGGGAAAATACTCTGTGGACTGACGAGACAAAAGTTGAACATTTTGGAAGGTGTGTGTCCCATTACGTCTGGCATAAAAGTAACACTGCATTTCAGAAAAAGAACACAATACCAACAGTAAAATATGGTGGTGATAGTGTGATGGTCTGGGGCTGTTTTGCTGCTTCAGGACCTAGAAGACTTGCTGTGATAAATGGAACCATGAATTCTGCTGTTTACCAAAAAATCCTGAACGAGAATGTCCGGCCATCTGTTCATGACCTCAAGCTGAAGCGAACTTGGGTTCTGCAGCAGGACAATGATCCAAAACACACCAGCAAGTCCACCTCTGAATGGCTGAAGAAAAACAAAATGAAGACTTTGGAATGGCCTAGTCAAAGTCCTGACCTGAATCCTATCGAGATGCTGTGGCATGACCTTAAAAAGGCGGTTCATGCTCGAAAACCCTCCAAAGTGGCTGAATTACAACAATTCTGCATAGATGAGTGGACCAAAATTCCTCCACAGCGCTGTAACAGACTCATTGCAAGTTATCGCAAATGCTTGATTGCAGTTGGTGCTGCTAAGGGTGGCCCAACCAGTTATTAGGTTTAGGGGGCAAACACTTTTTCACACAGGGCCATGTAGTTTTGGATTTAGTTTTCCCTTAATAAAAACCTTCTTTTAAAAACTGCATGTTGTGTT